CCTTGGCCTCCCAAAGTGCTGGGATTACAGGCTTGGGATTACAGGCTTGAGCCACCACGCCCGGCTTGAGTTAGTCTTAAACTCCTGGGTTCAAGCAATCTCCTGGCCTCAGCCTTCTAAGTAGGTGGGATTATAGAACAGTGTCACTATGCCTGGCTGCTGCTTTTTTTTTTTTGTGGGGGTGTGGGGGGGAAATGGAGTCTAGCTGTGTCTCCCAGGCTGGAGTGTAGTGGTACAATCTTGACTTACTGCAACCTCCTCCTCATGGGTTCAAATGATTCTCCTGCCTCGGCCTCCCAAGTAGCTGAGATTACAAGGTGCTTGCCACCATGCCTGGCTAATTTTATGTTTTTAGTAGAGATGGGGTTTCCCCATCTTAGCCAGGCTGGTCTTAAACTCTTCACATCAGGTTATTTGCCTGTCTCTGTCTTCCAAAGTGCTGGGATTACAGATGTGAGCCACCACCTCCAGCCAGCTTTTTTTAAATGTAAGCATGTACAGCTATAAATTTCCCGCATAGCACTGCTTTTGCTGCATCCCATAAGATTTGATATGTTGTTTTGTCTCAAAATACTTTATAATTTTCCTTATTATTTTTCTTCGATCCATAGTTTTGTAGTATGTTGTTGAGTTCCCATAGATTTGTGAATATTCCAGTTTTCCTTTTGCTATTACGATTTCAGTCCTTTAAAATGTATTAAATCTTGCTTTCAGGCCTAATGATCTTTCCTAGATAACATTCCACATGTACATTGAAGAATGTGTATTCTGCTGCTGGGTGAACTCATCTGTGTATGTCTGGTAGGTCCAATTTGTCTATAGTATCATTCAAGCTCTGTTTCCTTCTTGATCTTCTGTCTGGGTGTTGTATCCATTACTGAAAGTCAGTTATTGGGCCAGGCACAGTGGTTCATGCCTGTAATCCCAGCACTTTGGGAGGCCAAGGTGGGTGGATCACTTGAGGTCAGGAGTTCAAGATCAGCCTGGCCATCGTGGTGAATCCCTGTCTCTACTAAAAATAGCTAGGCATGGTGGCATACACCTGTAAACCCAGCTACTATGAGGCTGAGGCATGGGAATCACTTGAATTCAGGAGGTTGCAGCTGCACTCCAGCCTAGGAAACAAAGATTCTGTCTGGAAAAAAAAAAGTGAGGTGTTGAAATTTCCTACAATTTTCATAGAAGTCTGTCTGTTTCTCCTTTCATTCTGTCAGTGTTTGTGTCAGATATTTAGGAGCTCTGAGGTGCGTTGCATGTACCTTTATAACTGTTGCATCTTTTTGTTGAATGGACTGTTATTATCTGCTACAACAGCTTTTGACCTTAAGTCTATTTAGTCTGAGATTAATCTAGCTCCTCTTCCTTTCTTCAGTTACCATTTCCATGGAGTATCTTTTTTCATCCTATGTGTAAGTCTCTTATTGTCTTTAGATTGTGGAAATAATTTGCATTTTTAAAGATTATCATCTGATGAAACTCAATAGCCTGGTGGGTGACTGTGAGCAGTTGTTCTGGGAGGACTCGAGCGCACCATTTACCGGGCCTCCCCATGCCACTGTGGATTGTTTTCTGTAGGGCTTATGGTTTGTTTTCTCTCATTTCCTTCCTTCTGCCCTTTGTGTTTGATTTTTTTGTGTGACACACTTAGAATGTACACACTTTCTTTTGTGTACATTCTCTAGATATTTCTTTGTAATTACCATGAGGATTATATAAAACATGCTGAAGTTATAGCAATTATACAAATATTCTACTCCTTGACAGCTCTGCCCCATCCTATGTTGTTGATGTTACACAAGTATATCTATATTTTAGAGAGAGGGTCTCACTCTGTCACTCAGGCTGGAGTGCAGTGGCACTTTCATAGCTCATTGTAACCTGAAGCCCCTGGACTGAAGCGATGCTCCATAACTGAGACTACAAATGCATGCCACCATGCCTAATTTTTCTAAATAAATTACATATTTAACATAGGCTTATGGTTACACATCTCTTTTAAATCCAATAAAATAATTAAAATCAGAGATGTGAATCAAAATTCCAATAATACAGGTCTTTATATGTGGCTTCAAATGTCCACCTAGCATCTTTTTGTTTTGAATTGAAGGACTCCCTTTAGCATTTCTTGCAGGACAGGTCCCAATGTAATGAACTATCTCAGCTTTTGTTTATCTGAGAATGTCTTAATTTCTCTGGTCAGGTGCTAGGTGGAAGGATCACATGAGGTCAGGAGTTCGAGACCAGCCTGGCCAACATGGTGAAACCCCGTCTCTACTAAAAATACAAAAACATGGTGGTTGACACCTGTAATCCCAACTACTTTGGAGGCTGCACCACTGTACTCCAACCTGGAAGACAGAGCAAGACCCTATCTCAAAAAGATAATAAAGATAATATTAAGACACATTTTTGGTGTCTTAATATTCTTTTTTTCTTATGAGAGTTCATAAGATGCCTTTATTTTGTAACTTACAGCCACCTTTAAATTTGTCCTTCAAATGTTAACTGTAATTGGTGACTGCTATTCTTAAATACTTCACTGGTGTCTAAGAGGGGGATACCCTTGATTTAAAATAAATAAACCTGGCCAGACACAGTTGCTCACACCTGTAATCCCAGCACTTTGGGAGGCCGAGGCAGACAGATCATGAGGTCTGACATTTGAGACCACCCTGGCCAACATGGTGCAACCCCATCTCCTCTAAAAACACAAAAAAATTAGCAGGGCATGGTGGCACGTGCCTGTAATCCCAGCTACTCAGGAGGCTGAGGCAGGAGAATTGCTGGAACCCGGGAGGAGAAGGTTGTAGTGAACTGAGGTTGCTCCACTGCACTTCGGCCTGGGCGACAGAGCAAGACCCTGTCTCAAAAAAATAAATAAACACTAAGAGGAAGACAGAGGACCTTAACTGCAGATAATACTCCATTGTTACCCTGTGGCTATAAGTCTTCCGAGTTGCCTGTCCTCCCAGATGTTCTGTTAATAGCTGTAGTAGCTGACAGTTTTGTATTTACACAGAACAATTCTTGATTCCAGATTCTCCAACCTTCCCGTGGAGCCACACCACCTCCTGTCTTGGCACTTCATGAGTCCAATGCTGCTTCCCAAGAGGATCTGGTTGGTAGACCGTGACCTTGATTTCTGCCTGTAAGCCTCACTTTTTTCTCATCAGCCACCACCTTTTTGGTACTAGAAGAGTGCTTTTTATAGTACACTCATCAGTGGATCCTGAAATCGCAACCTGGCCATTTGGATGTTCAACTAATGCTTTATGCTGTGGAGTCCCTGGAACTCAGCAACCCGTGCCGGAACTCACTGGAGCTCAGGTGTGTAGCACTACCTTGTTTCTCTATGGCTGGGCGTGAAAACAGTGTTCATGCATTTGTTTTCCATTTGTTACTTTGGGGGTTTTGTTTTGTGAGACAATGTCTCACTCTGCCATGCAGCCAGGGGTATAGTCATGGCTCACTGCAGCCTTGACCTCCCGGGTTCAAGCCATCACGCCTCAGCCTCCCAAAGTGCTAGGAATACAAGCATGAGCCACTGCACCTGGCCTACTTTTGAGCTTTGAGTTCTTCATGTATTCTAGAGATGAGTCCTTGGTCCGATAGGTGGTTTGTAAACATTTTTCCCAATCTGTAGCTTATCTTTCCATCCTTCTAATTGAGTCAGAGAGCAAAAATGTGGTCCCCCTTGCAGACACTCTGCCCCTGTAGCAGGAAAACAGACACAGACAGTATATAAATGAACATGTGGATGTGTCCCTTGAGCAAGCGTCCATTTGTGGTAAAGGGGTCTCTAGACAGATCAGTGCCGAGAGGTTATTTCATTAAGTAATAGTTGAGCTGGATAGAAACTCTAACCCCATGCTTACTTTCTCTTACTCCACTCTCTTCCGTTCCTGCTGGTGGGAAAGCAATTGTCAACATGTTCTTCCTTCTTTCCACCCTCCTCAGTAGCTTTTAGGACCTGTTCTTTGTTTTTTCTGCAATTATGTTTGGATGGGTCTAGGTATGGATGGATTTATTGTATTGGGGACTGTGCCTCCTGACTCTAAAGGGTCCTGGGTCCTGTCTCTGTTTTCATTCTGGAATTTTTCTTGAGACAGACTCACTCATTCTGTCACCAGGCTGGAGTGCAGTGGCAAGATCTTGGCTCACTGCCACCTCCACCTTCTGGGTTCTCCTGTCTCAGCCTCCCGAGTAGCTGGGATTAAAGGCACATGCCATCACTCCTGGCTAATTTTTGTATTTTTAGTAGAGATGGGTTTTCACCATGTTGGCCAGGCTGGTCTCAAACTCCTAACCTTAGGTGATCCACCCATCTTGGCCTCCCAAGTGCTGGGATTACAGGGATGAGCCACCACAGCCGGCCTGGAATTTCTTTGAGACAGATTGGATCCTCTCATTTCATCCTCCCTTTGTCATATTTCCAATTGATTAAGCTTTAAATGTCTGTGAATGGCAGCCACTAATTCTGGTATCTGTAGCTCTTGGAAGTCCACCCCTTTTGTTGATACTGACCTCTATGCCTTTTAGTGGGGCTTTGGCTATAGCAATCATATGCAGCACTGGCTAAAGAATCTCAAGGTAGCTAGTGATAGAAATGAATTAGCGGTCCACCCTGGTAGTGGGGACAAACCTTCACATATTTGCTCACAGAAGTCACCTTCTGTGTTGATGATGATTTTTGAGGTATGAGAGCAGAGGGAAAACAGAGGCTGAGCGAAAACAGAGGCTGAGCATTTTCTCTAAACAGGAGTGGACATGGTGGCTCAAGCCTCTCATCCCAGCACTTTGGGAGGCTGAGGCAGGTGGATCACCAGAGGTCAGGAATTCATGACCAGCCTGGCCAACATGGAAAAACACCATCTCTACAAAAATACCTGACTGTATTTTTGGGAGGCTGAGGCAGGTGTATTGCTTGAACCTCGGAGGTGGAAGTTGAAATGAGGCAAAATTGTGTCACTACACTCCAGCCTGGACAGTTCATAAATAAGAGATATAATTGACTCACAGTTCTGCAGGCTGTACAAGCACAGCTCCAGCATCTGCTTGGCTTCTGGTGAGGCCCCGGGAAGCTTACAATCATGGCAGAAACAGGAGGGGGTGCAAAGAGAGAGAGGAGGTACCAGGCCCTTTATAAACAAACTGCTCTCATGTGAACTCATAGAGCAAGAACTCACGCTTCACCAAACAGAGGGTGCTAAGCCATCCATGAGGGATATACCCCCTCTAACAAATGTGAGATTTGGAGGGGACACACATCCAAGCTGTGTCAGGCTATAAATGTTTTGTTTTGATTCTTAACTCCTTGAGTGACAATTATTTGTCCTCCCTGACTAGAGAGAGAGATGGGTTTTCCCTCCGGCTGGAAGGCAGATGCCAGACAGGCGACAGAGTGCCAACCGGCTGGGGCGGCTTGCTGCACTGTGGAGGAGGGGCCAGGGACACGAAGCTGCGGGCACACAATTGGATGTAGGTGGCCACCAGAGTGCAGGCAGGCTGGAGCTCCCAGGTGCCACAGGGGTCCTCCACCTGAAATCAGGGCCACCCAGTCACTGTCTCTAGCCTAGGCCTCTCCTCTATGCCACTCCCCAGGGTAGACTGTGGAAAGGGCTTTCTGTGCTTCGGGGGCCATGCTCACACTCACCACCCAGAAGCAGTTCCCCAAGCTGGAAGAGAGGTCCTGGAAGAAGGCCAGGCTGGCAGGGCTCTGTCCTGGGCAGGCCTGCTGAGTCTTCTTGGTGGCCCTGCAGTCACCATCCACCTGGTAGGACAGACACAAGACTCTGGCCTCCCGCTGGACCATGTGGCTCCCCCACATACCTCGGCCTCAGCAGGAGACTTCCCCCCACCCTGGGCCTGCAAAGACCTCTGCAGAGCCAACAGGCCACCTGCCTCTCCTGGGACTCTGCAGTGAGCAGTCCTGAAGAGCCTCAGCCAGAAGGAGGAAGGGCAGGTGCACCTGCTCACCTGCCAGGCCAGGCTGAGCTCCTCTGTGGGCCACAGAGTCATCCAGCAACATCAGATCATTGCCTGCTTCATTGTCATTGGTGCCCAGAAGGCCAGCGGATATGCCTGTGAGGAGGAGGGAAACTGAGGAGGTCCTGAGAGCCCGTGATCCTCCCCCAGGGGACCTGTATGAGAGACGAGCCTGAGGCACACAGAGGATTGGTAGAATCCCTCCACCCCTGACTCCCATCCAAACTCTCATCAGAAGAGGGAGAGAAAGTGGGGACTGACGACAGCGTGTGTCCCCCCATCCCCTCTCCACGTCTTCAGCTTGAGTGGCCAGAATCCAGGCCTGCCCTTTGTGTTCTTGGCAGAGGGACCACAGAAAGGCCAACTCCACCCTGGAGCCACCTATCCCAGGGATGTGGGCAGAAAGCCCTGGGCCTCGGTGCCTTCATTTCAACCACAGTGGCCGCCTACAGCCCCGGGGACCTGTCACTGGAAGCTGAGAATGGTGCATCCCGAAGAGGCTTTTGGTGGTGACGCCAACCCTGCTGGGGCTCAGACTCACCGTGGTGCTAGAGGCTCAGAATCAGGCTGCAGAGGCTGGTGGGCACGTCACAGGAGATGGAGACCCTGTCCTAACTGGTCAGCTCAATAATCCTGGGGACGTCTCTCCTCTTCATGGCAAGAGGCAGCTGGAGGTCTGGACAGCTCTCCCCTGGGAGGGAGGAGTTGTACAGCCTGTAGGCCTGTGGACAAGAGGGGGTGGTCAGGAGGGCTGACCTACAGCCAGGGGACAAGCTTGAAAGGGTCATCTCCCCAGGCAAACTGCCACAGGCACAAGTCTCCAGGGGAAGCTCAGGCCTCTCCTCCTCACCTGCAGGCTGGGGTAGAAGATGAAGGTCAGGTGGTTCAGCTCCACACAATCAGGGCCGTGAGCCCCAAGCCTGTGTCACTCAGCATCAGGGAGAATGTGTTGTGAGCAAAGTCTTGGGCCAGCAGGATGCTGCCACACTGGGTGCTGAGGTTTCACACCCACCCGTCAAAAGTCACCACATGCTGGGCCTGGGCCACTAGGGCATGGTCTAGGGAGAAGCAGCCCCAAAGGCAGGGTGAGTGGAGCTCAATGCCTGCTTGGCACCCCAAAGCCTGGAGCCCTGGTTTAGCCTGCCCTGAGGCCAGGAGTCCCAGCGATCCCTCACCTGCTTCAGGATGACATGAGCTGAAGGGCTATGGCCCAGTTCAGCCCTAACAAGGAATGGAGTCCCCAGACCCGCTACAAAACTGCTAAGTAACAAAGCCTGGCTCAGAGGCCACATTGTCATACTTCTGTTTACATCAGATGTCCAGAGCAGGCACAGCCATGGACACAGCAGGCAGACTGGTAGCTGCAGGGTTTCATTTGAGGATGATAAAAATGTTTTAAAATCGACTGTGGTGAGGCATGCACAACTCTGAATAAACTAGAAGCCACTGAATCGTGCACTTAGAGTTCACACATTGGCCGGGCACGGTGGCGCTAAGCCACCCCAGCACTTTGCAGGGCTGAGGCAGGAGGACCACTTGAACCCAGGAGGTCAAGGGTGCAGGGAGCCGAGATCGCACCACTGCACTCCAACCATGACAACAGAGTGAGATCTAGTCTCAAAAAAAATCATACAAGTCATCCATTTAATCTCAAGGAAGCTACTGGGGGCAGGGGGGAGGGCAAAAACACTGACTGTTTAAGTGGATGGCCAATGGCTCCCTCAAACATGACAACAGTGTCCTGCAGACCTGCCCTGTTCAGGGTAGGGGAGAGATAGCCTGTGAAGGAGTAGCTCTGACCAGTCCAGCCAGCGCTGCCCCTGAGCTGTGCGTTGGGAGTGCTCATGTGCCCGTGGTAGGAAAGCACCATCCATCATGCACAGCCAGACACCTGATGGCCAGGGCCAGCATCCCAAGGGAGGCACTACCAGCCCTGTGGTCAGTTGTCAGAACTGAGGGGCAAAGAGAAGCCCATGGTCACACACACACAACTTGAAGAACAGGCTGTTTTCTACAAGATCAGTGTGCTTCTTAGACCTGACTACACCCACGCTTCTAGGGAGCCATAGGCCTCCGTGGGATTCCCACACAGATAAACCGCTCCTTGCCAAGCCTGGGTACAGTGGCTCTCCCATGGACGTGGGGGGGGCTCTCTCGTGCATTAAGAACCGTACACATGTGGTTACCTGCATTTCACAGTAGAGGAAGCCGAGTCCACGGAGGTTAGCAGACTCATCTGAGCCACATGCAAGCTCCCCAGGAGCCCAGAGCCGGTCATCCCAGCACTGCCCTTGGCTGCATTGCTGGGCCAGGCCTTATAATCTGGAGAAAAGCAGGATGTGCCGCCTCAGCCCTAGTCCATAGGACCTTGGGAAGTCCAGTAAGCTCTGGGTCTGGCACTGTGATGCCATGAGCCTCTGCAGGCTTCCCTGTGCCCCCACAGTACCTGACCCTGCATGGCCCCACTGCTGTGCCCATGGGGCAGGGGGCTCCCAGAAAGGAGGGTGGCACAGCCTGGGGCAGGATTCACACTCCCAGGGACCCTGCAGCAGGCGGCATCTGAGCTGGTAGAACTCAGGCAGCACAGTGACCCTGGACAGCTCCCAGAGTGGCCACAGCAACTTCTACTCCACCAGGTAGCTGGTCACACAGGCCATGTCCAGGGCTCATCCCCTCGAGACAGCAGTGGCAACATCGCTGCCACTGAATAGTTCCTAGAGGGAACACACAGGACAAGTCGCTGTGCCTGGCCAAGCCTTGCATCTTTTGGCTGCAGAGTGGGAGCTCACAGGTCCACATAAAGAGCTCTGCCATGGAGAGCATTGGGGTGCCTCTTGGGGAGGGGCTGTCCTTGTTCTAGGAAATCCCATAATGAGGTGGAGGAGAACAGAGGCTGGCATGACAGCGAAGGTGGGGGGTGAGGCCAGGACAGAAACAAGCTGCCCTATTTTGAGGACACAGATGTCTGATGCCATGTCTGATCTGTCCCCTGGGTCTTGGGCCGCACAGGGCCTGTGTGTGGGGATGCCAAGGACAGGAGCTGGAAGGTGTAGGAAACTGTTTTGTTTTTTGAGACAGAATCTCATCCTGTTTCCCAAGCTCAGGTATAGTGATACGATCTCGACTCCCTGCAACCTCTGCCTCCTGGGTTTTAAGTGATTCTCCAGTCTCAGCTTCCAGAGTAGCTGGAACTACATGCACTCACTGCCATGCCTGGCTAATTCAGATCTCACAGGCTACTCTACATATTGAGAAAGTTTCAGTCCACCCCTCAACTGTAGAAATTTCCTGAGATCACACCACTGAGACAGAGTAAGACTCCATCTCAAAAAAAAGATGATTACAAAACAAAAGCAGGGAAATGTGACAGAGCAGAATGGCCTGCTTAAGAGGTGACTCTGAGGCTCTTTGCAGGGAGCAGTGCACACCCTGCTGTAGATTTCTTGTGTTTCGTGTTTGTCTCTGAGTAAAACTGAGCTTCCTGAAGACAGGGGTCAGCCTCGCCCACTGTGGTCCTCTGCAGCAGCTCCTAAAATCCTGCCTGCATGGGACCATGCTCAAGAGGTCTCTTTGGAGTGAGGAAGAAATCCCAGCTTCCTCTCCTGTGAAATGGGGAGTGAAGAAGCCTTTGTGTAGGGCTGTCAGTAGTTAGTGAGTCAGAGCATGTCGAAGCATTCAGCATTGTGCCTGATACGTGGCAAGAATGCCGGATGCGCCACTCCCAACCCTGCGTTACCTGGTTACGAGGTCATACAGGTCCAGCAGGGGTTTGCAGAGCCTCTTCAGTGCCCGTGACAATGTGGCCTCAACCCAGGACAGCATCTGGTGGGCCACCTGGAGAGGGAGGGGACAGTGAGAGCTGTCTCAAGTCGTCCTCAACTGTCAGCCACGCCCCAACCTTGCTCTGACTCTCCATCTCCAGGGTGACTTTCACAGCCCCCACGGCCATCCTGCTGGGCCTGGGACCCCGGTTGCCTGGCATCCCGGGCACCCAGGCCTGTAGCCACCACATGGCCTCCTCTGCCCACTCCCGCCACACCTCCTTCAGGGGCCACAGCAACACTTCCAGGAAGGCATTTTTCAGTGTGGCCAGGGGCCCTGCAATGGGCAGCCACCACCCACCATGAGGCTTCTGGGAAGCTCAGAGGCCCAGCCCACGACTTGAGGAGACAGGGCCTATTCCTGGGATTAAGATGGTTGGGAGGAGTGGGGGAAAAGGAATAGAGCAGAAGGCACTGAAGATTGCAGGCAAGTTGTTACAGCAGAACCGAGCCGCCTCTGCATGACCTGCTCACAGGTTGTCTGGGGACTTTGATTGGGGGAGGGTTCCCACCACTCCTAAAAGTGATACAAGGCTCTCTGCACCTGAACTGTTTGTACAAACGCGTTTTATGCCAGACCCCTGCTTGCCTCCTAGGAGTCTGACAGCGTGCTCTGAGCTAAGCAGCACCTGCCAATTAGGCAGCCCCACTAAATACCCTGGGTCACATAGTGCTGGGACAGCCAAGTGCATCCCACGTGAAGGTGCAGGGACAGCACCACTGGGTGCTGGCCATGGTTCCCCCTGGACTGCGCCCCGGCCCCCTTCCCTGTGCCAACACTCCTGCCTCCTCTCACTGTAGTCAATGACAGCTGCGAACAGCACAGTGTGCCGAGTCATGGAGCACTCTTTCAAATTCACTGCCCTGTGGGTGGCCATGGGACTCTGGCACAGCAGAGAGGCTACGGAGGTGACATTCAATAGCCAGTCAGAGGGACACCCACCCTGGCATTGGGCCCTGGATGGTGGAGAGGCCAGAAGTTCCTAGTCCTGCCAGGAGGGCAGTTGGGGCAGCTGCTGTGAGCATTTAACGGCCACAGAGAGCTCATCGTGGAACCAGAAAGAGACCCTGTGGCAGTGAGCTTCACAGAAGCAAGGCTGTACACTCAAAAGAAAGCAGGCAGAAGACTAAGGAAACTGAGGCAGCAGGTATAAGGGATATTAGCTTGGAGACCTTGTAAGAATAAGACAGAAGACCATGAAAAAAAGGTTGGGTCAGGAACGGTGCCTCACACTTATAATCCCAGCACTTTGGGAGGCTGAGGCCAGTGGATCACGAGGTCAAGAGATCAAGACCATCCTGGCCAAAATAGTGAAACCCTATCTCTACTAAAAATACAAAAATGAGCCAGGCATTGTGGTGCATGCCTGTAGTCCCAGCTATTTGAGAGGCTGAGGCAGGAGAATTACTTTAATATGGGAGGCAGATGTTGCAGTGAGCCGAGATCATGCCACTGTGCTCCAGCCTGGTGACACAGCGAGACTCCATCTCAAAAAAAATAAGCCACCACCATTTGCAGAACTGGATGTCAAAAGGGAAAAAAAAGTGTACAAAGTTAAATGCTTGCTGTAGAACTACCACCTGTTCAGCTGCTGAGCACACCATCATTCCTAACTCAGCAAAAGAACCCCCACTCCAGGAAAAACTAAAAGAGAACTGCTGTTTCCAAAATGCATTTTTATGGTTGGAAATCTGTTTCCCAAGCCCTCCTTCCAGGCTGAGGCCAGTGGATCACGAGGTCAAGAGATGTGGGGCTGGAGATGCAAAAGGGAAAGTCACCAAGGCTGAGTTTCAGCTGCCTGCATCCTTGCAGCAAGGGCCAGAGGGCCATGAGGGGGTTCCCTAGCTCCCGCCGTCCACGCTGGACTCACAGGGCGCAGCTCTGCTGCAGTGGCCAGGCTTACCTCCATGAAGTGATTGCTCAGGGTGTGCCCCGAGTCATTCTTGAAGGTCTGGCTGACATGGAGATGCTTCTTGTTGCTTCTCTCATCCCAGTGCTTTCCATAGCTCACCTCCAGTTCAAGTGATTCTCCTGCCTCAGCCTCTGGAGAAGCTAGGATTACAGGCATCCGCCACTACACCTGGCACATTTTTGTATTTTTAGTAGAGATAGGGTTTCACCACGTTGGCCAGGCTGGTCTTGAACTCCTGACCTCTTGATCCGCC